ATCACTGGATCCTTTAAAAAGATTGAGTTCAACCTTTTTTTAAAAAAAACTTTTTTTTTTTTTTAAATAGAGACAGCGTCACTACATTGACCAAGCTGATCTCAAACTCCTGGGTTCAAGTGATGCCTTTGCTTTGGCCTCCCAGTGATGGGATTATAGGCATGAGCCACCACACCCAGCCAACCTCTTTATTTTTAATTCCTTAAAATAAATTCACATTTTGTGCTCTTATTAAAGAAGGTCATAGTCTTTCTTGCTAAACACAATTTGTGGAAAAATCCATTTCTCTGTGCTTTATGGAAAGCATCTGATACTAGAACAATATAAATACTAAGGATTTAATTAAAATCACCATCATTGACAAACAGCTTCTTTTAGTTCACAAAAAGGCTAAAAATTTTAATTTCTTTCAAATAAAAGTTCTTCTACCAATATCCTTCTCTTTGCTCAAAAACAGTATATTCTCTAAACCTTTAGACTTTCCATCTAAATTCCAAAAGAATAAGTACTTCCTTGAAGTCATGCCCAACACCGTCATGCCATCTCCCTATATAAACATTTCAAAATTCTGTATCTGGTTTATGAACAGCAGATCATCCTAAAAGTGCAAGGCAAGAATGAACAATCATGCTTTGAAAGAGAGATTATATTTTATAACCCTCCCATTTTTTAGTCACTTAGAACCTTTTTTTTTTTTTTTTTTTTTTTTTTTCCTGAGACAGAGTCTCATCCTGTTGCCTAGGCTGGAGTGCAGTGGCACAACCATGGCTCACTGCATGACCTGGCCTTGACCTCCGAGGCTCAGGTCATCCCCCGACCTCACCCTTCCAAGTAGCTACTACAGGTGTGCACACCCATGCCTGGCTAATTTTTGTAGTTATTGTAGAGACGGGATTTTGTCATGTTGCCCAGTTTGAGTTTGGTCTCAAACTGCTGGGCTCAAGTGATCTGCCCTCTTTGGCTTCCCAAAGTGTTGGGATTATGGGTGTGAACCACTGTACCTAGTCTTGATTTTTTTTAATACACATATTAAAAAACGATTAGCCAGGAGTTTGAGACCAGCCTGAGCAACACAGTCAAATCGTGTCTCTACAAAAAATACACAACTTAGCTGGGCATGGTGGTGTGTGCCTGTAGTCCCAGCTACTTGGGAAGCTGAGGTTGGAGGACTGCCTAAGCCCAGGAGTTAGAGGTTGCAGTGATCCATGATTGCACCACTGCACACCAGCTTGGGTGACAGAGTGAGACCCTGTCTCAAAAAAAATAACCAAAAACAATAAAATAGTAATTGCTCAAAAAATGAGAGTTGAATATGGAACTTTAAAGTTCATTCAGGAAAATCCAATCAAGTCCATTTTATCTATTATTCAATGAAAGATGGTTCAGAAACCATGGCCATTTACCCAGTTGATTCAGAAGAGCTTCTAATTCTCCCAAGTTACTAGCACATAACACAAAGTAGATTCTCTCTGCTGTAGGGATGACTGGAAACACAAGGCAATTACAGATAACCTATGAACATTTGTTGTTGTTGAGCAAAGAATACTTCCAGTTTTTCAATACACGGCTGCAACTAAGCTCTTTGTAGTTTCTCCACATCGTCACTGCCCAAAAGAAAATTTTGTAATGACTAATAATTTTCCTTAAAATTTCAGTGAAGGCTTAGATTGGATCACATGAAAACACCTCCCCAAATCTTCCAGAATTCCCCAATATTTTCCTTTTCAGCATATTCAGCACAGTTCTTGCACTCTTGGGGTGTAAATCCAACTAATGCTCTCCCTTTAGTACCAGTTCCACGATCGCTTGCCAACTTTTTAACTTGAGCTTCTATGTAATGAGGAGATACGTAAGAAAACTGGTCACGAAGGATACTGTAAGACACATGTCGGAACTCTTCTGAGGTTTCTGCAGCTTCTTGGTCATCAAAACTCTCCACATTACAGGCTATTTTGATCTTTCCCTTGTGGGGAAAAGCCATCACTTGGACGGCCTTCAGTCCCTTTGCATTTGAGCCCCGAATGGCACTAGCGATCTCTCTTCCTGCAGACATGTCTTGAGAATCTATGGTAATGTTGCAGTTCATCACATATGGGCTGGTACCAACACCTAAATCATTAGAAAAGCATGTTAATCAGGCAGAACAAAAGCCTTGTTCTGAAGATTCTATTCGCCAGCCAGTTTTAATCAGAGGCACTTCCTTTACTCGGTTTCATTTAAAAACAATACAAATATTCCTCATTGTCAACTCCAGAATTTTCTTAAGATAATTTTTTTTCCATAACAGAAGTATTTAGGCTATAATAAGTAACTTTATTTACTCTAAAAGTATCTGAAGGGTTTTTTTTTTTTCCTAAAAGAGCTCAAACTTTCCAAAATACCAACAAAGAAAGAAAAGTACAATTAAGAACTAACTGTCATCAGCAGCAACAGGCCTTGGACCTTCATTCATTTCCAAGGCCATCTCCATGGGGGTTGGAATTCAGTGCCAGGCCCAAGAATCTCAGAGACAAGAATAAATCATATCTCTGTACGTACCACTCCCTCTCCCCCAAACAAACAACTGTCATTATTGAATTAGGTTAATATTAGATTAAAATGAATCTCAAAACCAGTCTTGATTAGGGAAAGAGGTCACTAAAAACTAATAAACAGCCTTGGAACTGGGAAGAGCAAAGGGACTCATGTGTTTTGTGATGATGTGAGTTTGGCAGGGTTTGGAGACAAACAAGACACAAGAGTTCCCTCACACATACTTAGAAACCTCATGCCTTTCTCTTTGTACAACCTGTTGGAGGCACCTCTTTCTTCCATCCCCAGCTTCACAAGAGACTGAGATGGCCATTGCCACTCTGGAGCCCTGTTACTCTAGAGCTCAGGGGCAAATGTCCCGCTTTTCCTTGCTTTGGGGACGGTGCAGCTCACGTTACATAAATAATATGGCTCTAATTATAGTTTACATTATAAGATGGACAACTTGGTTAAATTAGTATTGGTATAAAAAGCTTACAATTGCAGTTTTCTCATTTTAGGGGAACCTTACATTTCTAAAAACAAAGTTAAACAGGGATTGAGGGGGGATAAAGGGCTGACCTCATCTTCAACATGTGATCATTCCTTAGCTACTATTTCAACATTATTTTACTGTCATTGCTTTTTCTTGCTACTTTCAAACTTATTGCTCCTGATGTCAGTATCCATCAGCAAAGTGCCTTCTGGGTTCACTTTTCCCTAGACCATGATGGTTTGGGGGCTCTGTTGTCTAGCCTGGCTACTCTCATACTAATAGATGTTTTACAGAAAATCAGCACACGGAAACCACATTTCATCTTTTTCCTACACATGTACATAATGAAACATTTCAACTCCCAAGGCTGGGCCTCTTCCTACTGGGAATTCTGCAGGAACGAATCAGATTACAGTATTTCCTGATATGCTGATTTCATAAAAACTAAAGTTCCTAGCAGTCAATACATCTCTCTCTCATCATCTCATGTCCCAGTCACTTACCCTAAATATCTTTGAGAATTATATCAGTTTTAACATTGCAGAGTATACCTAGAATTTTTTGTCAATGCTAATGTTGCCATTCATTAACAGAAAACATCCAAACATTTTTCTCTCATCTACCCCCCAAAAAGTAATGTTACAAATAGTCTTATGTCCTAAAATCTAGTGTACATATCCTATTTTGACTCAAGGAATGGTAATATCTTTACCATAGTTCCAAAAAGTATTTGGATTACACTCAGGTTTTGCTGAAGAGTATATAACACTGGGGATTGCATCAGCACAACTATTTAAAATCCGTACCAGGCCCTTAGTGCTTCACTATTACACTTTGCTGTCCCATATCTTTGATATGCCCAGTTACATTCAGATATTCACATGCAATTCATCAGCCAGGGGTAGCAAGCTCTTTCAAAGGAAGTTCCTACATAGGGACCTGGGGCTCTCCCCAGGACATAGGTCATTCCATCCCTGTAGTCCTGTGACTTTTCCTGAATCCCTCACCCAGCAAATTCCAAGGTATCCTTTACCATCACATGTCTAATAACTTCCCCTTGTTAGTAGAATTTCCAAAGTTGATCATTCTTGCTATAAATGAATTCACTGCCTGATTTAAATTATTAAAGATAAAGTAAGTATAGATGTGAAGCCCTAAGGACAAGAGGTCAATAAAGAATACTACATGTATATGGTTCAGTGTCCCAACACTGACGTACTTGATTAAAATGAAACTCCTATTTTAAAAATTCCTTCAAAAGCATGAAGTTAATTTTTCCTAGTAAAATAAAATTAAACATCAAAAATAAGTTTTATATGCTTTTAAATAAAATAAGAATTACTTATAGAATAATCATTTTTCAAATAGGCCCTTGTTATATGTATTTTAAATCCTTCTAGTAAGCTTTAGTTACACAATATTTTTGTTTTATTACTATTTCTTATTCAAGTAGTGAATAAACAGAGACAGTGAATGAATCTGAGATGTTTCTGACCTAATCAGGGTAGTAGTTTCCTCACCAAGGCAGGGAAACTTCTCTCCCTTGGGGGGTGAAAGAAGAAAGAAAGAAGAGAAAATTTCTCTTTTTGCCCAAATTCATACTTTTCCAATTTCCTCCATTTAATCCTTCCAAGTCAAAACCAATACAGTGATCCAATTATACTGAATCAAATTCTGTGTTTAAATCCAGCAGTCCCATTGACCTTATTTAAATCCTGAATTTGATTTTTTATGTTAATTTAAACCTACTAAGAAGGTATCTTAAATGAGAGAGATAATTAATCCCAGCAAATCGTATTTCTAGTTAAATGTCATATAATTAAAGTAATTCCACTTTTTGCTCTAAAATTAGAAACCTGATGTGAAAGTTTGTTTCTCAGTTTGCGGTTCCGCTCCACTCCCGCCTCCCGCAGTTTGGCACTCAGCTGCTCTGGTGGCAGCACGAATCCCCTCACTGCAAGGCTGAAATTCCAATTTTATTCCAACACAACTGTCACAACGCCCTGAAGCAAGCTAAAAACAAGGAAAAAAATCTTTGGTATGATTTCATTTTCCATGTGTTCTTTAATGAAAAATTTATCATTCTAAATATTGGTGTTTACTCCTAGTTAAATACTTTTTATCAAAAAGAAAAAGAAACTGAGATTCTGTTGCTATTATTTCATAGAAAATATAACAGGCCTGATGTTTTCCTGACAATTCTATTATTTTCTTGTGTGGAAACACTGTATTTATCATATACTGTACGACTGGTGATTTAGATATTGTTGAGACCTTATGGTGAACTTATATGGATGTAAATTCCTTATGCCAGATTGTTTAAGCAGAAAGGAAAAACCAAATGCACTTAATTAACATATGATGTGTAGCTTTTGCAAACACAAATGCAATATTTGTGTTTGAGCACTGGCAGTAATGACTGTGAACTATGCTATTAATGTCTGGTTTAAAGATGCTTGTGGTAGGACCATGTCTGGAATAACACAAATAAAAAACTGCATTCAGACAAAACAATAGTGAAGAACCCATTAGGAAAATGGAAAAGCAGCACTCAGAGAAACACATGTATTTTTTCCCTTTAGATCAAAACTATTCTCAAAAATAGTTTCAGGCACCATCATTTTCAATCAATTAAAGGTGAAAAGATTCTATATATTTTAACTCTACAGAAAAGAGTTTCACTTTAGGAGGTCCAAAGTTACTTAGGGATGTCTTCAGAAGTTCCATTCATAAATTACACTCCTCTTTGGTGGCCAGTATTAAAACATGCATGAGGAGAGAGCTGCGGTGGTGTTGTAGGATATTTAGCGTTTTTATATCTAAAGAGAAAACTTCAAATTTGTGGATTGCATTACAATTTGAATAAATAGATTCTTTTCAACCAATTCAACTCCCTCATTAAACACTTTGTTACTGAAAACCTGGTGAGTGCCAGGAACCATGCAGGTTGCTGAGTATAAAAAGGAGAAGGTTAAAATAAGGTATAACCCTAGCTGAAATGTGGACTTTGCTTCAGAGTAACAAACAGAGCAAGGCCACCAGACTCGGAACTCAGGTTCAAAAACATAAACAGTTTTTATACTAAAAGCAATTAGTTATCATTATATATTGGTATTTTACATTTTTTAGACCATGTACTAAAGAGAAACCACAGCTGAAACAGGACATTTGATGACTAAAACCATAATACTCTAACATAATTGCTAAGTCCAATGCTCCCATGGTGGGAAGAATGTAGGACTCATGTCCATGTGGCTGAATCCACAGAAAAGAAAGTGAGAACCATGTGGCACAAGGCTAGGAAGTACTCACATGGATCCAAATTCAAGTTCCAACCCAATAAGACACTGCCTCTGCTCAGTTGTCTTTCTGCAAAATGGCTATGACATTTCCTTGCTCTGCAAGGCATTGTGAACCTCATTCTACTGCCTATGAATCTTTCGGAATAGAAATAATTCATAAGAGATTACAGGCATAGGTATAAATTAACCTCCGTAATGAAGCCAGTACAAGTAAGAGGGAAACTCAAGTGTCTAGCCTGCTCTCAGGTTTGTCAATAATAGAACAGTGCCCTTCCTGAGTTCAGGCAAAGTCTAAGTCCTTCATGTTCCACTTGTAAGGTTACATGCTTAATGACACATTGAGACTTTTCATTTTTCATAATCCCAACTAGGCTTCCTAACCAGCATCAGAAGATAATTTTTAAAAAGAGGCTCCTTAAAACAAGACTCATTCTAAAAACTAGAAATTATTTTTCAAAGACCAGATAAAGTTTTGATGTGGAGTAAACTGGATTATTCAATGTCAAGAAAAGTGCCTGATGATACATTTCTTATTTATAGTAGAAAGAAGTAAGCAGGAAAGTGCTCAGTAACCCATTTAAATAACTAAACAGAAGCCCCTGATTCCAAGATGTACCAATTACCTCCATCTCTGACTCCTAGGGCACCATATGAAACTACAGTTCAAAGAATTTTCCCCGCATTTTTAAACAATGATGCATACATGCAGACCATTCACACAACATATCAGACAGCAGTGTTTAAATTACCCCATAAATGTTTAGGGTTTTAAATATATATGTATAAAGTATTTATTTATAGATCTAAAAGTATCAACTATTACTGCTTTGCCCTTATTTATGTTCCGCACAAGCTGGCCAACTACAAACTTTTAAAAGGAATTTGGCTTAAAAGATTTTGTGTGTTTGGCACGGACTATGGGTGTTAATCATTTCTGAGCTCACTTCTTTTTCTCTTCTGTTTATAATATTCTTTGGGAACTTCAAAACAGAAACCTGTTTCCTTATATATTCTGCTTCCTCTCTGGTACTGTGCAAATTAATTTGTCCTGGATTGTTGACTATACTGTTCAATTGATAGCGCCAATCATTTCTATTTAATTTTTGTAGGAAAAAAATAAACATAGCCACAATGTATTGAGGTTTTTCTGTTTTGGTGGGAGGGAAAAATATGTTGGGAAATGCTGACATAATCAAAAAATATTAGAAAAATATATAAAGCCAATTAAATTTAAACAAGGGGGAAACTGCTATTGTTAGGAACCAAATTCATTGAAAAATTAGATGAATAACATTTCTACCCTAAAGCAAGAAGTGTTATAAATTCTACTTGAGTAGATATTACTTCAAAAAATGAAAGTGATTTACTTCTTTCTAGACAACTTTTTAAGGAAGAATAGGTGCAATTAAGGTAACCTAATATTTAAGTAAACAGTCTTAAACTCTACTGTCTGGTGTGAGGAATATTAGAAACTGTTTATTCATATCACTTATCCACTGATCCTCCTTGAAATACTTTACCTTTCTGCTATTAGCACCTGCTTTGAGCCTACTAAATGACAGACAAAAAGACCTGCCCAAACTGGCAAACTGTAATCTTGTTTCTTCCAAAAACTAAGGCTTCTACCAGTGACCAGTAGGTACCAGCGAAAAAGGCATATAGGGGAAAAGCTGTGCTTCTCTTCCCTTCTTATTATCCATCTGCCATCAAGTATAATCTGAATACAGGCACTGAAACTTACTTAGGTTTTATAAAATTTACCACTAATAAATCTTAATAATTACCCTTCAGGGAAGTTGATGGAAATAATCACAGGATCGATTTAGAGATATTATCAAAATATGTTGGAAGCTTTACAAATTTAAAAATGTTTTTCTCATAAATATAAAATACAAACAAAATATGTACATATATATTTTACAATATTGAGATCATGCTACCTATGTACTACCTGGTATGGAAGCTGGCTATTCCCTTTGCCTAAAACTCTACTCCACATCTCCATGTGGCTAGTGGCCTCACTCCTTCAAGTCTTTGCTCTAATATTGCCTTTATAATGAGGCCTAATTTGGATTATTCCACTTAAAATCACAGTACCACCCCATTCTAGAACTCTTAATGCCTTTGTCCTGTTCAGTATTTCTTTTGTCTATAGCACTTGCTATTTCCTAATGTACGATGGAATTCATTTATTTATTAAGGCTTTTATTTATGGTCTGTCTCTTTGCCCCTCCCCAACTACAATATAAGCTCTCTGAAGACACATAAATTTTACTTTGCCCACTGGTGATACTACCTAGCACATAGGAGGTAATATCTGTTTTGTTAACTAATTTAACTGCAAATTCTTTCTACATTAGATTACATTTTCCATGTATCTAAAAGTTCTTCTGAAATGTCATATTTGAGTATGCCATTGTTTATGTAAACATTCCCAAATAGCAAACATTTCCACTATTTTCAGTATTTACTATTATAAATAATGCTTTAATAAACATACTTGTACAGGTACCTTTTACTATTTCCTTAGGATTTATCTCTAGATGTAGAATTCCTGTAAGGCAGTTATATACATTTTTGAGCTCTTGGTATATATCACAAGCTCACTTCGAAGAAGTTTATACCAATTTACATTACCATTAACAATATAAACATCTCTAACTACATCTTCCCCAGTATTAAATATTACCTTTAAAATATCATCTTTAAACATTCATTGTGCCAATTTTGGCATCTTAATGTTTTGACTTGGAATTTGCAGATTTTTATGAAATTTTTTATGTAAATTACAGATTTCCATGTGAGTAAAAATAGAGAAAAAAATCAGGATCCAGGCACAGTGGCTCATGCCTGTAATCCCAGGACTTTGGAAGGCCAAAGCAGGTAGATTGCTTGAGTCCAGGAGTTCAAGACCAGCCTGGGCAACATGGTGAAACCCTGTCTCTACAAAATATTCTTGGGAAGATGAGGTGAGGGAATCACCTGAGTTCAGGAGGTTGAGGCTGCAGGAAGCTGAGTTTGCGCCTCTGCAGTCCAGCCTGGGCAAATGGCATAAGACCCTGTCTCAAAAAAGCAAAAGAAAAAAATCAAAAATCTCAATGTGTTGGCCATTTCAATTCATCAAATTAAACAAATAAAATAGATAATAATGCAGCAGAGGCATAGATTATCCAAAGATTATCTATTATCCATAGATTCTGACAGCACTGCTGTCAGAATAAAATGTGTCAATTAATTTTTATTAAAAAATGAGAATTAATTTATTCCAGTGTTTGCTTAACCTAATGCTCTCCTAGCAGTATACCTATGTCTAATTCCTATCCACCTGACTGCAATACCAGTCCACCTGGCACTAAACTGAATACATCTGCCGTATAATCCCTTCAGTCTTTGGGGAGGCTTAAATTAGAAACCAGGAAATAGATTTCTGAAAATTTAGTCATAAAACTTTACACTTCTCCATTTGTGAGACAAATCATGGGAAAATATGTGAAGTTCAAATTGGCAGAGAGCAATCAGTCTCTTCCTTTTTTCTGTAACAAAATGTTGAATGAAATGCATTTATATATCACTTTTATTAAATTTCCTCTTCATTGGGAAGAAAAAAATGGCCCTTAAGCACTGTGCTCGTCACTTTAGAGACATCATTTCAACTTCACAATAATAAGAGGGAGACATTATTATGTCCATTTTATATACAGGGGAACTGAAGCATAATAAGACCAAGGAACCGAGGTCACACAGCCAGCAAATAACAAGGCCAGGATTTCAGCATAGCCTCAAAATCTGTGCTTTTTTTTTTTTTATTGCATTGCTCTATTTGATTATAGATATTATTTGTTTAAGATCAGAACTCTGTACCAGGGTCTAGTAACCAAAGACCTATGTGTAAATGATTCTGTAGGGCTTTGGCAGAGCTGTGCCATGAGAAATGTGTTTCTTATGCTCACCCACCTTTCACTCCTTGGGTATCTAGCATTGTAGTAACTGATTAAGTTATCGACTGACCATCAAAATGTGACCTAACATGGTTTAATTCGTGGCCCCAACAGACATTGAAAATGAAACAATTAAGACTCAAATAAGTGACACTAGGATGGCGGAAGTACAGCCAACAGGGAGGAGATCTACCTTTCCCTGACACAACCCCTTCAAAGTGGGACAGGGAGTGATGGCAGGAGAGGCAGAGAGAGGGAAAAGCTGATGAGAGCCAAGGGAAGGAATAGTTTCTTTTCCCAGTCTTTGGTCTCTGTGTTCTAGAAGTCCATTATCTAGAAAAGCTTTTTTTCCAGGGTTCCTCTAGAACTGATTTCCAGCTGTAAGCACCAACTTGGCTACACTGATGTTTAAGTATTGAAAGACCTTCCTACCAGCTAGAAGTAATCTCTCTCTAAGTCCCCCCACCCTAAGTGTCTCCATCACACCCCAGGACACACCTCACACCACTCATAGACAGGGGCCTCCAGGACTCTGCCCCAGTGCCGGGAGCTATGAGCATTATTTTCATCAGTGATCACACTGCAGGACTAATGATACACCTTAAATATCACTTCTGGGGGCCCTCATCAAATACCTGACAGGAGCTTCTAGGCTCACAGGATAGCTTAAAAGGGCCTGAGTGAGAGTAACAGCAGAGAGGAGAGCCCCACCCATTTCAAGAAGTAGCCACTCCTGTAACTCTTCCCTGCATTAAGAAGGTGTGAACCATAAAGGGGACCTCAGGATTCACCATCAAGTTTAAAAAACAAAACAGAGCAAAGCAAAAACCACGCTTAGAACCTGTTAAACCACATCTTCGGGCAGGGGCAGCTCCCAGGTCAGGCTGAAGAGCACTGGGATCCCTCCTCATGAACCAGCCCAGCTGCTTCCTTCTCTGGACAAGGCTGTGCTTCTCAGGCATGTCAGCTTCACCAAAGAACGTGCAGCACCAGATCCTCAGCAAGGCCTATGGCAGAGGGAATTTTAACCAAAGTCAATCACAATCAAGCCAAATTTAAAACCAAAGCATATAATTTTTGGCTGTGTTAAAACACATTTAACATAGAACTCATCATTTTAGTCGTTTCTACGTGTACAGTCCAGTGGCATGAACTTGCGCACCGTTGTGCAACCAGCACCACTAAAGCACACGATTTATACAAATTTTTAAAATCAAAGCTTAAACATAATTAATGTTCCATTGAAGTTAGTCTCACAATAAAAGCTTGCCTTGATACAAGGAGGCTTAAATTTCTTTCTTTTTTTTATGAGATGGAGTTTCACTCTTGTTACTGAGGCTGGAATGCAATGGTGCGATCTCGGCTCACCACAGCCTCCGCCCCCTGGATTCAAGCACTTCTCCTGCCTCAGCCTCCGGAGCAGTTGGGATTACAGGCACCCGCCACCACACCCAGCTAATTTTTTGTATTTTTAGTAGAGATGGGGTTTCACCATGTTGGCCAGGCTGATCTCGAACTTCTGACCTCAGATGATCTGCCCACCTCAGCCTCCCAAAGTATTGGGATTATAGGTGTGAGCCACCAGGCCCAGCTGGAGGCTTGAATTGCTAACCCAATACAAATCTAATTTCACAGAGGAAATTTATCTCTAAGATTAATGAAATTGGTGCCTTCAATTTTTGAACAATTTTATAATAGCCTCAACTTGTAAATATTATTAGAAGATATAAAAAGTTAAGAGGGCAAGGGCCAGTAACCACATTGTCTAATATAGTAACCTCTAGCTATGTATGCTTTTAAAATTTAATTCCAATCAATTAAAGCTTTAATTAGGATTTATCTTTGGAACTAAAGTTTTAATTGATTAAAATTAAATAAAACGGGCCAGGTGCAGTGGCTCATGCCTGTAATTCCAGTACTTTGGGAGGCTGAGGCAGGAGGATAGCTTGATGCCAGGAGTTCAAGAACAGCCTGGGCAACATAGTGAGACCCCTATCTCTACAAAAACTAAAAAAAAAAAGAAAAGAAAAATTAAGTTTTTTAGTTGCACTAGTCACATTTCAAGTACTTAACAACCACACATGGCTAGTGGTCTCCATACTGGACAGCACAGATAAAGAACATCTCCATCGCCATAGAAAGTTCTGTTGGACAGCTCCGGGCCAGATGCTCTATAAGGAAGCCTAATATTCAAGCACAATTGGAGATTACTCTAAATGACAGAACATTTTTTCATCTTCTTCTGCCATTCTTCACATCTGGATTCTCTGGATCTGATTTTATCTTCTCAAGGCAAAATATAGAATTGCTGGGCTTTTCTAGATTACATCTTCACAGGACCTCTGCTTGTTTTCAAGGAGCTAATTATAGTCCCCTGTAAGCATGCATAGAGATGGCATACATTTTTGTCTGATATACAAAATGTAGGTGCTTAGGGAATTTTGGTCCTGGCCTGGGATGGCAGAAGTGGGATCCTTCTTCATTTGTTCCATATTGTAGATCATCAATCAGGGCTGAGATGATACCTCTGGCCACAATAAGCATAGGAGACCTTCCCAACTACAATTTCAGGGTTTATTGTTTGCTTAATTCTAATGCAGGCTGCCATGTTAATAGAAGAAGTGAAATGTGGAAGACACTAAAAAAAGATTTGGTACCACTGGAGTGTAAAAAGTCTTGGGAAATGTTTTGGTTTGGGGGTTTTTAAATTTTTTTTGAAATGGAGTTTCATGCTGTCACCCAGGCTGGAGTGCAGTGGCATGATTTTGGCTCACTGCAAACTCACCCTCTCAGGTTCAAAGGATTCTCCTGCCTCAGCCTCCCAAGTAGCTGGGATTACACCAGCTGCCTGGTTAATTTTTAACCATGCCTGCCACCATGCCTGGTTAATTTTTATATTTTTAAGCAGACGGAATTTCACTATATTGGCCAGAGTGGTCTCAAACTTACGACTTCAAGTGATCTGTCTGCCTCAGCCTCCCAAAGTGCTGGGATTACAGGTGTGAGTGACCACACCCAGCCTGGTAAATGTTCTTTCTCTGAGTCAGGTAGGGACTCCAGCATGAGAAGTCACTGGCATTGCAGACACATAAAGCTAAGAAAATCCCCTAAGTTTATTTTAGCCCTAAGTGATTTCTGCTTTGTTAACACTACTTTAAGATACAAACACACCTCAGAGATATTGCAGATTTGATTCCAGACCACAACAATGATGCAAATATCACAATAAGGCAAATATCACAATAAAGCAAGTCACACAAAGTTTTTGGTTTCCCAATGCATATAAAAGTTATGTTTATATTATACTGTAATCTATTAAATGTGTAATAGCATTATGTCTGCAGAAACCAACATATATACCTTAATTTAAAAATACTTTATTGGCCAGGTGCAGTGGCTCACACCTGTAATCCTGACACTTAGGGAGGCTGAGGAGGGAGGGTTGCTTGAGACTAAGAGTTTGAGATCAGCCTAGGCAACATAGTGAGATACCATCTCTACAAAAAATAAACAAAAGTAGCTGGATGTGGTGGCATGTGCCTATAGTCCCAGCTACTCAGGAGGCTGAGGTGAGAGGATCACTAGAGCCTGGAAGGTCAAGGCTGCAATGAGCTGAGATCATGCCACTGCACTCCAGCCTGGATAACAGGCTAGACCCTGTCACAAAAAAACCCAAAAACTTTATTGCTAAAAAATGCTAAGGCTTCAGCAAGTCGTCATCTTTTTGCTAGCAGACATTCTTGTCTTGATCTTGATGGCTGCTGACTGATCAGGCTGATGGCTGCTGAGCGTTGGAGTGGCTGTCGTAATTCATTAAAATAATACCACAGTGCAGTTTACTACATCAATTGGCTCTTCCTTTCATGAAAATTTCTCCATAGCCTGTGATGCCGTTTGATCATATTTTACCCACAGTAAAACTTCTTTCAATATTGGAAACAATACTCTCAAACCCTGATTCTGCTTTATGAATTCAGTTTATGTCATATTCCAAATCTTGTATTGCCATTTCAACAATGTCCATAGCATCATCACCAGAGTAGATTCTATATCAAGAAACTTCTTTTGTTGCTTCATCCATAAGAAGCAACTCCTCATCCATTCTAGTTGTTGTAGTTTTTTTGTTTGTTTGTTTGTTTGTTTGTTTGTGTGTTTTTGGTTTGTTTGTTTTGGAGACAGAGTCTTGCTCTGTCACCCAGGCTGGAGTGCTCTGGCATGATCTTGGCTCACTGCAACTTCTGCCTCCTAGGTTCAAGTGATTCTCATGCCTCAGCCTCTCAAGTAGCTGGGATTACAGGTGTGCGCCACCACTCCTGGCTAATTTTTGTATTTTTAGCAGAGATGGGGTTTCACTATGTTGGCCAGTTTGGTCTTGAACTCCTGGTCTCTCAAGTGATCCACCAGCTGCAGCTTCCTAAAGTGCTGGGATTACAGATGTGAGCCACCATACTAAGCCCCATTCAAGTTTTATTATGAGATTTCAGCAATTCAGTCACATCTTCAGGTTTCACTTCTAATTTTAGTTTTCTTACTGTTTCTACCACATCTGCAGTGACTTGCTCCACTAAAGTCTTAAACTTCTTAAAGTCACCCAGGAGGGTTGGAATCAACTTCTTCCAAACTCCTGTTATTGTTGATACTTTGACTTCCTCCCAAGAATCAGGAATGTTCTTAACGGCATCTAGAATGGTAAATCCTTTCCACAAGGTTTTCAATTTACTTTTTCCAGATCCATCAGAGGAACCATTATCTATCCATAACTTACAAAATGCATTTCCTAAATAATAAGATGTGAAATTCAAAATTACTCCTTGATCCGTGGGCTGCAGAATGGATGTTATGTTAGCAGGCATGAAAACAATATTAATCTCCTTGTACATCTCCATCAGAGCTCTTGGGTGACAAGGTGCATTGTCAATGGGCAGGAATATTTTGAAAGGAATGTTTTTTTCTGAGCAGCAGGTATCAACAGTGGACTTAAGATACTCAGCAAACCATGCTGTAAACAGATGTGCTGTCATCCAGGATTTGTTGTTGCATTTATAGAGCACAGGCAGAGTAGATTTAGCATAATTTCTAAAGACCACTGGATTTTCAGAAAGATCAATAAGCATTGGTTTCAACTTAAGGTCATCAGTTGCACTCACCCCTAACAAGAGAATCAGCCTGTTCTTTGAAGCCAGGCATTGACTTCTCTCTAGCTATGAAAGTCCTAGATGGCCTCTTCTTCCAACAGAATGCTGTTTCATCAACACTGAAAATCTGTATAGTGCAGCCACCTTCATCCTTTTCAAAAAAAAATTTTGTAGAGACAGAGTCTCACTATGTATCCCAGGCTGGTCTTGAACTCCTGGGCTCAAGCAATCCTCCCATCTTGGTTTTCCAAAGTGCTGGGATGACAGGCATGAACCACTGCAGCCAGCCCACCTTCATCCTTTATCTTAGCTACAGACGCCAGGCTCCTGGACAACTTGCTGCAGCTTCTACATCAGCACTTGCTGCTTTACCTTCCATTTTTATGTCATGGAGAGAGCTTCTTTCCTTCAACCTCATGAACCAACTTTTCCTCTGTAGCTTCATCAGCTCTCTCACCCTTCACAGAATAGAGGAAGAGTTAGAGCCTTTCTTTGGATTAGGCTTTGGCTTAAGGGAATGTTGTGGCTGGTTTGATCTTCGATCCAGACCACTAAAACTTTCTTCATATCAGCAGTAAAGCTGTGTTGCTTTCTTATCATTCATGTGTTTACTGTAGTAGCACTTTTATTTTCCTTCAAGAACTTATCCTTTGCACCACAACTTGGTTAACTGGCACAAGAGGCCTAGCTATTTACTATCTCAGCTTTCAACATGCCTTCTCCACTAAGTTTAATCATTTCTAGCTTTTTCTTTAAAATAAAAGATGTGAGACTCTTCCTTTCACTTGAACACTTAAAAGCCATTGTTGGGTTAGTGATTGGCCTAATTTCAATACTATTGTGTCTCAGTAAATAGGGAGTCCTAAGGAAAG